ACCAATCAATCTATATGCGGAAGTGGGAAATTGTCCTTGGGGCATACCTTGTTGAGATCGATGAAGTCAATGCAAACTCGCCACTCGCCGTTTGTCTTCTTGACCACCACCATATTAGCAAGCCATTCCGGATAGTGGGCATCTCGTATGAAATTGACATCGAGGAGTCACTTTGCTTCTTCGTTGATGATTTGGTTTCGATCGGTCCCGAACTTTCTTCACTTTTGATAGACCAGCTTGCGGTTAGGATCCACGTTGACCTTGTGGCATATGACATCCGGATTGATACTGTTAGTTTTCAAAATGATTTTGCATGCGGAAACATGTATGTAGCGGATCGTGTATAACAAAAATTTTCATAAAACTTTGAGATACTCTATATATTACATTAATTTATGCACAAATAAATTAATCAAATTAATTCATTTATCTAACAAATGATTAGGTCGATAATTTGAGTTCTTTGACCACGAACGTTCCTCGCTCCAAGCTTGTTTAGAATATTCAAATCTTCCTTATCAATTTCTTGAATCTACGAAGACGTGTGTGTGGACACACCTGAAACAAAATGAGATTAGCAAATAAACACCGAACACCAACACTTTCACGGCGTGGAATTATGGGAGAAAATTTTTCCTTTCCGCAGTCTATGAAATTCGGCCACTAAGCTAGAGAGAGCAAAAATTGTGTTCACCAATTTTCTACAATCTCTTATTTATAGAATAGTAATCAGACTCCCAGAAGAATTCTAAACTTTATCTACAAGATAAAACTTGATAATTATCTCCTACTTCTAATTAATTTTAGAAACAAAATTTTCTCTCTCCTATATCCTATATGGCCGGCAACCACAAGGAGATTCCTCCCTATGGTAGGTGCAATCTATAGGCAGGGAAGAAGGCAAAATTCTGCTTTTATCCTCCAGTCTAATTTTGACTCAAATTCTAATTCTAATTTAAGTCAAACTTAATTTAATTTGAATTTCAATTGGACAACTTATCAAATAAGTCAATTGGATAACTTAGAGAGCAAGCAACTGAATCCTAAAGGGATTCATAGTGTGATGAGCGTGTACACCATGTGGACACCTCCACATGTGTGTTCTAAAATTTAAATTTAAATAATCATATTATTTAAGTTATAATTAATTCTCAATTAATTAACCTAGAGCGTTTTATTTAGAATTCCATAATTATACAATTCTCATTTTGCCTTAGTGTCTTGTAGAATTATAAGGACGACGCGGGGGCTCCTGCACTTATAACTCTGAGCTCCAATAAAATTAAGAATAAATTAAAAATCTTTAATTAATTAATTCTATTAATTTCAAAAGTTACTCCACTATAAACATAGAATTGCACTCTCGTAATTATATATATATAAATTACTTCTAAACTACAAAGTGTTCATTTGATATAGTCATACGTATAGATCAATAATTCATAAATAATTCATAATTATAGGTTGGTGAAATCCGTTAACCTCTCTAATTACGTCTTTAACCTTGAGTACCATTGATTCTCTTATGGAGTGTGATTTAGAAAATAAATTCATAAATCAAAGCTCCTACTAGTCCAAGTACCGAATCAACCCTCAAGAGAATTATTTATCTACTTCGTTCTAAAAAAGGAACGGATTCCATCCAGTATTTTAACATTCCTAGCTATCCATTTCATCAAGTCTCTAAGGAATAGAATTTAGCAAACTCAAAATCTGTACCGAGTTAGTCAAAAGACACAAATCCACAAATATGAGTCTGCTAATAACTCATGATTAAGATCATTCTATATATGATATTTAATTAAATTCATTACGAACATCGTTTTGATGATTATCCTTAAATATTATCCCCTCGCATATAACACTTATATACAATATTTAAGGTCACATAAATAATCATGGAATTTCCAGTGATATTGACAAAATAATAATATATGCATATAAATAATGAATAAACTCTTTTATTAAATAAATAATAAATATTCTATTACATCTCATGCTTCTAGGACACTATTCTCAATAATTTCCCACTTGTCTTAAAGTAGGTGTGACATGTCTTTTATCCCGAATCCTTCTACCATTAAGAGTAAACACAGATCCAGATCTCCATCGTCGACTATCTCTATCAGATTGGAAATCAGAATTTGTGTATCCGGTGAGAGACAAATCTCTTTCGAAATATACCAACATATAGTTTCTCATTCTCCTAAGATACTTGAGAATACAATTCACCGTAACCCAATGATCTAATCCTAGGTTGGACTGGTAGCGACTGACTACTCCTACTACATAGTAGATATCCGGTCGTGTAAACATCATGGCATACATGAGGCTTCCCACTGCCGATGCATAGGGATACCATCTCATATCTTCTTACTGCCGTGGAGTCTTAGGATATTGCTCCTTTGAAAGATGAATTTCATGTCTAGAAGGAAAATTCTCTTTCTTGAAATTTTGCATTGAAAACCTCACAAGCACTTTCTCTATGTACGATTCCTAAGATAACGCTAATAATTTTTTCTTGCGATCTTGAATAATCTTAAACCTAAGAACATAGCCTTCTACAAAATATTTCATTTGGAATTGGTTAGCTAACCACTTCTTTACATCTATCGTCAATTCTACATCATACCAATGAGTAAAATGTCATCAACATAAAGAACTAAGAAGACCGCCTTTTCTTCTTTCTTATACTTGTAGACACATGGTTCATCAACGTTTTGATCAAATCCATAAGACTTAATAGCCTCATCAAACTGGATGTTCCATGATCTAGAAGCCTGCTTTAATCCATAAATGGATATCTGTAATTTGTAGACTTTCTGCTCTTGTCCTTTCTCCATGTAACCCTATGGATGATCCATATAGATGGGTTCCTCAAAATAGCCATTCAGAAAAGTTGTCTTAACATCCATCTGCCATATCTCATAGTCAAAATATGTTGTTATGGCCAAAAGTATACGAATGGACTTAAGCATGGCTACCAGTGAGAAAGTTTCCTCATAGTCAACTTCTTATTTCTGGGTATACCCTTAGCAACTAGCCTTGCTTTATAAGTCTCTGCTTTTCCATCCGCTCCTTTCTTTTTCTTGAAGATCCACTTGCATCAAATGGGTTTTACCCCTTCAGGTAGATTTACAAGTTGCCAGACTGAGTTGGAGTACATGGACTCTATCTCGAGTTTCATAGCTGCTAGCCATTTTTCCTTGTCAGAATCATCCATCGCATCCTTAAAGGTTAATGGATCCTCCTTACCATCATTAGTAGTGACAATTTGTGCGTATACCAGTTAGGTAACCTGCTTACCCTCCAACTACGATAAGGTACTATAGGAGTTGGATTAGGAATCGTGGCATTATCTCTTTATGCTCCGACAACTGTTGCCGGCTGTGGTCTGATCTCATCAGAAAGTAACTTTCCAGTACTACTTTGCTTCTAGGCTTAAAACCTATCATATAGTCATGCTCCATAAACGTGACATTTGTCGACAAAAATACCTTTTGATCTTCCTGACTATAAAATAGTCATCCTCTCATCTCTTATGGGTATCCGACGAAGATGCATACTTCCGACCTCGATTCCAACTTCCTAGCCTTAGGCCTCAGCACGTGTGTTGGATACCCCTATATGCGAATGTGTCTCAAACTAGATTTTTGATCATTCCAGAACTCTAGGGGCGTCTTAAGTATTGACTTAAATGGTACCAAGTTTAATATATACACTGAAGTTTTGAGGGTATATCCTTAGAATGACGTAGGCAGTGAAGAATACTCAACATTGATCTTATCATGTTGAGCAAAATTTGATTTCTCCTTTTGGCAACACCATTCTGCTGTGGTATGCCGGGTACTGTCAGTTGTGACAACACACCTTTTCAATTAAGTAATCCCTAAACTCTCAGTCTAGGTATTCACCCCTAGGATCCGATCAAAGTGTCTTGATTGGTTTATCTAACTGTTTTTCAACTTCTAGTCAAAATTCTCTAAACTTTCTAAAAGTTTTTGACATCTGCTGCACTAGGTATACATAACCATATCTCGAATAATCATCAATAAAAGTGACAAAATATTTGTAACCTCCTCTTGCTTGGACGTTTAACGGTCCACATACATCCGAATGTATTAGCTAAAGAGGTTTTGTGGCACTTTCTCCTTTCACCGTGAAAGGCATCTTGGTTATTTTACCTTCCAAACAAGACTTATAAACCAGATGCTCACCAACTTTTAGTTTGCATAAAGGACCATCCTTTACCAGTATTTTAATCCTATTTAGGTTAATATGACCAAGTCTAAGATGCCACAGATATGTGTTATTATCGTGAGAGTTCCTTTGCTTCTTATTCTTAGGTTCGGCAACATTGAACATTTCAGTGTTAAGTAGTGAGTTAGGTATTGATTTTATACAATATAAACAATCATCTAGACATCCAAAACAAATATTAAAACCATTTCAAAAAATATGAATAAATTCATTATCAAAATAGAGTAATTATTCGAATAGTCTAGCTATAGAAATCAAATTTCTATGAATGTTTGGAATAAAGGAAACATTGTTCAAAACTAAAATTTATTTTCCCTAAAGTGAAGTCTAACTTCTCCCACTACTTTTGCCGAAACGCTTACAAAATTGCCCACTTTCATCGTGTATTCCCCATCGGCTAACTCAGTATATGAACTAAGACTCTGTAAAGAAAAACTAACATTATTAGTTGCTCCCAAATCAACTATCCAAGCCGAGGTATCACCCTCTACTAAACACGTTTCAAGAACTAAAAAATCTAATTTGCCTTGTTCTTTTTTCTTTTTCAGCTCCTCGAGATACTTTTTACAGTTTCTCTTCCAGTGCCCATCTTTGTTGCAGTGGAAACACTTTTCTTTGGGTTTCTGGTCGGAGCCCTTCTTCTTGGACTTTTTGTTCTTCCCTTTCTTCTTATTTCCCTGGTTCTGGTTCTTTCTCTTGTTCTTACCAGATCCAGCTACAACAACAACATTTGCTTCTCCTCATTTACCTTTATTTACGGATTTGAGGTTTTGTAGGTCATTCAATAGTTCGGTCAGGTTGGCTTTCCTTTTGTTCATAACATAGTTGTTAGTGAACTGTTGAAAGACAAGGGATCGGCTTTTCAAGATGATGTCAACTTGGGTTGCTTCATCTATCCTGACACCATTGACTTCAGCCTCGTGGAGGTGCTCAATCATGTTCAGAACATGTGCCTTAACGGATGTGCCACTCTTCATCTTGTCGCTCATAAAAGCCCTCACAACATCTAAACGGGCCTTCTTTGAAGGAGCGCCAAACAGGACTTCTGGAGACTCCATAATGTCATACGCGGTCTCCATCTCCTTATGCTTCTTGCGAAGTACATCACTCATACTGGCTGACATATAACACTTTGCTTTGTTGTTGGCCTTAATCCAACGATCATAAGGCTCCCTTACGGCTTTAGATGCATTTGCCACGGGTTCTTGAGGACATTTTTCTAAAAGAACGAACTTATAGTCATCACAGATAAGAAGGATATTCATGTTACTTTTCTACTTTATATAATTATCTCCGTCTAGTTTTTCAGCCATGAGTAGTGAGATTATAGACTTAGACATATTGCTAAAAATGAAACGAGTATTCATCTAATCAATTTTTGTGCATGAATATTAGGACATGTGAGTTTTTGGCATAATTAAATATGATACTTGATGCACTTGAAAAATACATAAATCATGTTTTAATTTTAGGTGCCAACGATAATCTAATTTATCATGAATATAGTGTCGTCGTAGGGTAGGTCAAAATATTCACAAATTGAACCGACACTTTCTCAATTAATAAATATAATTAAAATATCACATATTTTCATATTTATCAACTATCGTTATTTGTGGTCAAAATATAATCAACAAATTTGATTGTATTTTTAAGAGTATAACCCATCATTTTAAATTCTACAGACATAGCTCCGAAGTGTCACCGTAGGATAGGTCTACCGGAAATACATCTTTGAATCCTATTGCTAGGAAGTCAACCTTGATATCGACCCGAAAGAATACTTTCTATAAGGAGTGCTGACCCGGTGTCGCCGCGAAGCCACTTTCGAATCTCATAGTATTGAACTAACGATGGAGACCAGTGAGTCGTATTGTTTTACAACCTTCTCCCGCTCAATATTTTATAAATATGTATTTTATTTGAAAAACGTCTCATTGTTTTCAAATCCCTATATATAAACAATTTGTTTATTGGATATGCGAAATTCTAAAATTTAACTCTTAAATTCAATTTAACACATAAAATAATCTTGCAAATTAATTTTGCAACTTAAATCAATTTAATCACATTAAATTAATTTTAACGCATAGTTCTTATTTTATTTTATTTTTTAAAATTCTTTTAAATAAATAAATAAAATAATGCACGTATATATAAGGCATGTTATAAAACATATAAGTATGCACACTATATCTATATGGCATGTTATATGCATAGACATATAATATACAATTACCTAAAAAATATAAATATAAAATATCCAATCGGCTATTGAGACAAATTTGACTGGGTCCCATACAAAATATAAATTACAACCATATTGAACAAATAACTATTACAACCAAATCAAATAAATAAATAATTATAATAATAATTATTTTCTCTGTTACATCAACGGGTCTTCATTTTTTTAATTCTTCATTCATCGACATCGTTCTTCGTCTTTGGGTCAGATTTCAGCTTCTTTAGGGTCCAAAACTCTTCCGGATATGTCGGCATGCAAAACTAGGGTTTCTAAAACCCAAAGAGCCCGCAAGAGGCCCACTTTCATGCTTTAGCAGTGCTGGCTACGCCCCTACATGCGTTGTGCGTGCCTAGGACATGCCATGGGGGCGCGCCTGCCAGCCTGCCTGCATGCTTGGAGGGCTACCAGGTGAGATGCCTTGGAATTCTTGTCCAAATTTTTCTAAGCTTCTTGTATTTGTGATTCCTTGCCCTAATCTACCCAAATTCTAGAATTACAATAATTCTAATTCCCAAATAAAATTACAAATAATTTAATGAATGAATATTACCGATCAATGCAACCATATAATTAACGACCAAATCCATCATCCATATACTCATCAACATGAATCAGTATAAACATCCATAAATAAATGCAAGTGCCTACCATCACATACATACAAATTTAAATATCACATATTTTATATAATATTGATTATCGCATAATCGGAGCATAAATTAATATAGTCTATAAACTGCTCTAATACCATTTGATGGTTTCCGAAACGATTTTGGATACATAAATGAGTATCTATCGGATCATGTATAATAAAAATTTTCATAAAATTTTGAGATGCTCTATAGATTACATTAATTTATGCACAAATAAATTAATCAAATTTATTTATTTACCTAGCGAACAATTAGGTCGTTAACTTGAGTTCTTTGACCACGAACGTTCTTTGCTCCAATCTAATTTAGAACACATGAATCTTCATCGACAATTCTTTGAATCTAAGAAGATGTATGTGTGGGCACACCTGAAACAAAAAGGGATTAGCAAATAAACACTTATGTGTTCTACGAACACCAATACATGCACAACGTGGAATTTGGGAGAAAAGTTTTCCTTTTCACACACTTTATAATTCGGCTACTATAGCTAAGAGATAGCAAAAATTGTGTTCTCCCACTTCTAATCTTTATCTCCAAGATAAAGTTAGATAATTATCTCCCACTTCTAATTTGATTTGGAAACAAAATCTCTCTCCCTTATCCACATATTAGCCAGCCACCACAAGAGAATTCTTCCCTGTGGTAGGCGTATACAGTATGAACAATAAGGCAAATTTCTGAATTTATCATGCAGTCTAATTTTGACTAAAATTTAAATTCCAATTTAAGTCAAGCTTAAATCAATTTGAATTTTAAATTGGACAACTTATCAAATAAGTTAATCGAACAACTTGGAGAGCAAGCAACTGAATTTCAAAGGGATTCACACTGTGTTGGGCATTCACACTATGTGATCACCTTCACATGTGTATTCTAAAATTCAAATTTAAATTTAAATAATCACATTATTTAATTTATAATTAATTCTCAATTAATTATTCTTGAGTATTTTATTTTAGATTTTCATAATTCTAAAATTCTCATTTTACCCTTAGTGTCTTGTAGGATTACAAGGACAACGCGGAGACTCATGGAGCTATAATTTTGAGCTCTAATAAAATTAATAATTAATTAAACACTTTAATTAATTAATTCTTTTAATTGTAACAATTACTCCACTATAAACTTGGAATTGCACTCTCATAATTATAGACGTAAATTACTTCTAAATTGTGAAGTGTCCATTTGATATAGTCATTACATATAAATTAATCATCCATAAATAATTTATAATTAGAGCTAGGCAAAATCAGTTAACCTCTCCAATTACATTTTTATCCTTGAGTACCATTGATTCTCTAATGGATAGTGATTTATAAAATAAATTCATAAATCAGAACTCTTACTGGTCCAAGTACCGATTCAACCATCAAGATAATTATTTATCCACTTCTTTTTCAAGAAGAAAAGGATTTCATCTCGTATAATAACATTCTCAGCTACTCACTTTATCATGTCTCTAAAATATAAGGAATAAGATTTAGGATCTCGAAATCCGTACTAAGTAAATCAAAAGACACAAATCTATAAATTGGAGTCTACTAATAGCTTGGGATTAAGATCATTCTATATATGGCATTCGGTAGACTCAATTAGAATTTCTATACTTAACGAAAATTATCAGAAATTCATATTGTGTCTATGTCCCTGTTCTATATAATTTCATTATGCGTAATACACTTATTCAATATCTCTCCATATTAAGAGTGCGGATAACACCGTTCCATTCTGAATGAGAATGACATGTATTAGTAATATTTTAATTATAAATTCTAAACTTTAATTACATTCATTACGAACATCGTTTTGATTATTATCCTTAAATATTATCCTTTAGCATATAACACTTATATACAATATTTAAGGTCACATAAATAATCATGAAATTTTCATTGATATTCATAAAATATTCAATAATATATGCACATAAAATAATGAATAAACTATTTTATTAAATGAATAATAAATATCTTATTACATCTCATACTTTTAGGACATCATTCCCAACAACAGCAAAATAACTTATTTAATTTGCATCACCTAATTATGCTGAGAGAGTTTGATAAATTAAAGTGAGAAAAATTTCTTAGATTTATAGTGATGAATTCCCAGACATTAAAAAATGTAACACAAATCTTTAAATTTCTCAATTTTTAATCTCTTAAATCTAATAAAAAAATTCGATAAAATGAGACACATTGCAACTGTTTTACAAGTTTGAGAGTTTGATTGTTAAAATTAAAAGTTTAAGCACAATTTGCTAAACTACGAATGTTTTTTTTTTTTTTTGGAAAAGGGGGGAAGAGGGCACTTGTGTTGAAAATTCTAAAAAAAAAAAAAAACCCAAAGAAAACCTGTCAAATAGTGTTCTTTTTTGAGCTGTCATATATGGATCCATTTGATTCATCAATTTGAACAAAAAATCAAAATTTTATGAAAAAATACCTTAACAAAAAAGTTCAAATTATGGTTCAATATATATATATATATATTTAATTTTGAATGCTTATTCATTAAACAAACACTATTAATATAAATATTTATCCTAAGAAAAATCTTTCTCTGCTATGACATTGCTATTAGTAGAGCCCATCTCTTTAAAATCATATCATATTAAAAAAATATGCGACAATTTATTATATTGATTCAATAGTTAAAAATAAAAATTTTTTGATAATTTATTTTTCTTGTGCCCATAAGTGAAAAAAAGAATAAAAAAAGAATAAAAAAAAAACTCTTCTACTTTAACTTTGAGTTAACAGCTGGAATTTTACACGTGTTTTGCTCATGTAAATCTAAAAAAAAAATAAAGAAATGAAAACACACAAAAATCCCCAGGAAAACGTGATACGCGCGGGAAGTTGAACGCACGCTATTGAATGAGCGCGTGCAGGACTCGCCTGGGCTTTAAAGAAGTCAAGTCAGTAAGTAAGTTGGGAAGCTGTAGAAAAATGACACCTGGGCAGCCAAATATTTACGTAATTTGCCACTTTCGACCTTTTTTTTTTTAATTTTTTTTTTTTTTTCTGATTTCAACCAACAGTTTATCCACACTCTCTTCTCTCTCTCTCTCTTCAATTCTGTTCCTTTGCCCACAAACCATGACGTAATCGAATGTTTCGGAATATCGCATACAACGATCTGGGCCGTCGATGTACTTTAATCATGATTAGAGCCGTATGATTTCAAGCACTGTTACACATAAACCAGGATAATATTGTTTTTGTGAGTAATTATTTCTTTTTAGAAATTTTAGATGGGCCTTTCGGGAGAAAATGACTTTGGTACGAAGAAAATCTCTTTCCATTAGCAGATAACAATTTTTTTTTTTTTTTTTTTTCAAATTCCCACCTGCATATTT